CGAGGAATGTATCAACCGCCAAAATACTTAGAGGAGTGGAAGAAAGCTACAGTTGGAACACTAGCTGGTCCTTTGTTGGACCTTCATGAAGAGCCTAGCCCTGTTGCTGATAAGAGCACGCCGTGGTGGGAGAGCCCCCCTAGCAGTAAGCGTAGAGGTAGTACAACGACGCGACCGCAGCCGGAAGCTCGAGAAGAGCTGTACGACGATACGAAAGGTCAGACGAGGTTTAGACCAGCACTATATCTCAAATGCGGACCGCTGCTGCGTTATTGCGGTCTCCGTTACGAAAAGCCACTAACACGAGCAAAGCGCAACGACGAAACTTCTGAGCAGGAAATATGGAGAGGCAGCGTCATGATCGTTACGCAAGACTCGGAGTCATCATATGACATTCCTCCAATTCTCCGACTCTTTGTTCAACCCATCGAGCTCTTACCACCGCCCCCCGCAGAGCTGCGCGGGGGACAAACCCTTCCCCCGGAGTACGTGGACCCAATCGCAGGCATACCGAAACTTGGTCGACGGGGAGAAACATTATACGTCCGACCAGTAGAACATCTCGAAGAAGCCAAGGATGTTTCAAGATTGGAGCCTGACGATGGCCTATTCGAAATCACGAGAACGGCCCCTGACTTCAGTAACGGACCTGACCCTCCGGGATCTTTTGCTAGTCGCAAAAGACGGACTCAGGTTGACGGAGAGAAGCTGGGGAAGTACAAGGATGTTCGTGGGTTCCGACTACATGCGGAACGAGGCCATACGTTCTGGAGATTCAATATCGAAGTCGAGCTGCGGCATTATCAACAGAGAATCGCTTACCGTATTAACCATGGTCCTGCTATGGGCTTCTGGGTACCCCCTCGGGGTGAGTCGATGAACATCATGTTCTACAGCTGCAACGGGTTCAGCATGAGTGTGAATCCAGATGACTTCAGCGGTCCAGATCCTATGTGGCGCGACGTGCTCAACAACCATCAAACTCGGCCGTTTCATGTCATGCTTGGAGGTGGAGATCAGCTTTACAACGATGCTATCATGCGAGAAAGTCCCCATTTCCACAATTGGTTGGATATCAAAAACCCTCTACATAAAAATAATGCCCCGTTGATACCAGAGCTGCAGGATGAGATGGAGCGATTCTACCTGAACAGGTATATGATGTGGTTCTCGCAGGGGTTGTTTGGCTTAGCAAACTGCCAGATTCCTATGGTCAACATATACGACGATCACGATATCATAGATGGTTTCGGTTCCTACCCTCACCACTTTATGAAGTCACCGGTATTCAGCGGTTTAGGCAATGTCGCGTTTAAATACTACATGCTTTTCCAGCATCAGAGTGTGCCCGACGAGACTGAAGAAACTGAACCGAGCTGGATTCTGGGTGTCAAGCCAGGACCGTATATCCATGAGCTGAGTCGCAGTACTTTCATGTTCCTGGGAAGCAAGATTGCGCTCCTTGGTGTTGATTGCCGGACTGAGCGCACAAGGGATGATGTCTTGCGAGAAAATACTTGGAAGAAGCTTATGGATCGCTGCTACGATGAGATTGTCAAGGGCAAGACACAACACCTGCTTGTTCTTCTGGGGGTTCCAATTGCTTATCCTCGACTAGTGTGGTTAGAGAATATGTGAGTTTTATTTTTACGTCCGCATATCTGATACGACAGAACTGACATCATTTAGCTTGACTTCGCGGTTAATGGATCCCATCAAGGCCCTTGGAAAAGCGGGCATGTTGGGCAATTTCCTCAATCGCTTCGACGGAGGCGTCGAAGTTCTTGACGACCTCGACGACCACTGGACAGCTAAAAACCACAAGGATGAGCGGCAAGTTGTAATCGAAGACCTGCAAGATCTCGCCGCAGACAAGTCCATCCGCATAACGATTCTAAGCGGTGACGTGCATCTAGCCGCTATAGGCCAGTTCTACTCGAACCCTAAGCAACAGCTTGCCAAGCATCACGACTTCCGCTATATGCCTAACGTCATCTCATCTGCCATTGCCAACACACCACCCCCCGACATCATGGCCGACATTCTTAATAAGCGGAACAAGATCCACCATTTCGACAAGGATACCGAAGAGGACATGATCCCTATCTTTACTAGCGGAGTAGACGGAAAGCCGCGTAACAACAAGCATCTCCTACCCCACCGCAACTGGTGCTCTATCCGCGAGTACGTGCCCGGACAGACCCCGCCGTCAACCCCGCCCCCAGAGGACTTCGAAATGACCCCCGAGGGCACCCCGCTAGGCAGCCGCAGAAGCCTCCTCCGCAGATTCTCGTCGAAACGAAGAGGCTCCGTTCTCAAAAAGGAGAGGCCCCGCGACTCCGCAGACCGCTCGCGTCCGCCCGTCTCCGGCAGCGGTTTCCTGCGCTCGCTCTCCCGACGCGGATCGACGAGCGGCGGAGGACCCCGACAAGGTGGTCTCCTACGCACGCTTTCGCTCGGTCGCGGAGATAGTTCTCGTCCGCGCGGTAACGGTAACGGCAACGGTAGCGGTGGCTTGTTCAGTCGAAGAAGGAACAGCTTCGACCGGCCCGACGACGGCGGTATCAACGGCGCCTGGGGCCCCGACAGCGAGGACGACGAGGACTCGGTGCTGTACGAGGCGCCGCGGGTCCAGCGCGCACGAGCTACGACGGTAACAGCAGCACCGGTTCGACCGGCCGTGCACGCATCGGATTACTACGCGGGCGGTAGCGGCGGCGGCACCGGCAACAGCAATCCAAACATGGGGCGGATGCGCGGCGGAGGAGCCGAGCGGAACGACGAGTACGAAGTCGGCGACGAGGCGCTCTTCACCGCGAAGTCGCCGCGGCGGGCGTACACGCAGCCTACGAGGGGCGAGCACGGCGGAGGGTTCAATCCCAACTATAGCGCGTACTACGACGACGGCGAAGACGACGACGACGACAGGCCCGGCACGGAGTGGGCGGCGCCGCCGCCGCGTCCGTACCGCCGCGCGCCGACGGGGCTCACGGCCAAGCAGATGCAGGCCGCGGGGGGCGCGGCCCGGTACGAGGTCGACGTGCGGGGCGGGCTCGACGTGTGTCTTAACGTCGAGGTCAACCCGCGCGACCCGGCGGGGATCACGGTGCCGTATCGGTTGCTAGTGCCGAGGCTGTGGTACGAGTATAGGGGGGAAGATGGAGAACCCGGTGGCGGTGTTAGTGCGGATGAAGAGGAGGTGGTGGAGGAGGAGAGGGAGACTGGGGTTGGAGGACGGGGAGGGGAGGAGTATGGGTATGAGGGGCAAGGGCAGAGACAGCAGCGGACTATGTACGAGGATATCATTGGAGACGAGGAGTACGGATTCGAGGAGGGAAGGCCGCAGAAGGGCGTGCTGAAGCGGTTGTTTAGTGGGCGGGGAAGCCAGTATAGGGCGAGGAGGATGTCGTCGTAGGAAAGAAGGAAGGACAACAGGTAATAGGTATGCCCGCGAGGGTGTCAGGTCTGAGGGGCTCTACCCGTTTTTCACCCTTCGACCTGTTTTGTTTAAAACTATTTCAACATTCCGGGGGAAGGGCGAGGGAAAAGTTTTCTATTCACATCTTGGTCCGCAACAGTTAATTTCCGATGCGGGAGGGTTTACGATTTGGAGTTGTTTTACCATGTGGATGGACCACGCTACGTACATGGGAATTTCGGAAAGGGGGAAAAGGGAGAAAGCTTTTGATTTCGCTTCACCCGGGGCTCGCTTGGTGATCGGGAGCGCAGCGAATTGGATATTTACGAGTTACGACGTTTAGGAAAGACGAGGGTAGCGTTACGTATTCGGACGTATTTACATTAGGTACCTTACCTTTGGGGAGCTTTGGAAATTGAAGCTGATATGGGCTGGCTGGTCGGCTGGTCAGATTGCTTGACTGATGTATGTACATACTTGGATGAGTTGACTTAAATAAAATAGGTACAAATCTTCCGCCGGCGTCTTGCTTGAGTATACGGTGTGACATATGTTCTTTTCTTTGAGTAGATTCATCTCATCACACGGTTGGAACTTATATTAACTAATTGGTATGTGGTTGCGGATAGGAAGTTGTTATGATTTCCTGGGAGCGTTGACTTGAGCTCAGCCTTGCCCCTCTAACTTCAACCACAATACCCCTCCATTCGCAGAACGAATAGCAACGGGTCTGAAGATATAGAGTACAATGCAGAACATAAGAAAAATATTTGAGCTTTAGTCCAAGTTTTCTATTAGCATCTAGCCCCTAAGCCAAGGCCCGTCTAGTATATCTTATTGTCCATCGACCAAACTTCCTAAGAGAACTCAATATTTGAGACAGTTCGGTGGTTTACGTATAGATGGAGAAGTCTCGTGTAAACTGACCTTACATTTTCGTTATACTTTTCCGCGGAATTGTACACAATCTAGTAACAAGTCCAAAGAGGAAACATTTCTCGACGCCCAGCCGGCGTGGCCGTAAGTGGTCGAACTTTCTCCTCTACATGATCCAATAACATACGCGTGTGCATACCGTACATATCAAACCGCACTGTTTCTGAGGGGTCAATTTCAACACTCTCTCACTCAAGCCGTCCGTTTTCCTTTGAACGACCCCTCTTCTATTACTACAAGTCTGCAACTAGGATTTCGAAAACGCCATACCACAAGCCACCTAAGAGATAGAGGTAGTCTAGTCCTACGCTAGTCCCTTAGCTAACAGATATATAAGTCGCACTTAGCAACCCGCTCCTTCACATACGACCATAGGATCTGGAGAACTCGGGATCCCGTCCGCTCTCCCCTTCGATAAACCAGATACAGCCGGATCAGTAGTCGGGTCGGTGACGACCGGCGAATCCCTGGTGTTGTATGTCTTCTTTCTTTTTCTTTTTTCTTTTTTGCATTTTTCTCCCTCTTTTTTTTCTTGAGGCGGACTAACTCCTTTCGTCGCTCTTTAGAGAGTTGGGTAAAAGGAAGGGGGAAAAAAATATAAGAAAAATTTGGACGCTTGTGTTAGAGAAGATATACAAAAATATGATCCCTCGGACCGGAATCGAACCGGTGACTTTTCGGTATACAATTCTTTACAATTACAGCCGAACGCCATAACCAACTAGACTACCAAGGGTTGTTGAAGGCTTCATGCTTTAGAATAGCATATGTGTATGCGTTGTCGAGTTCCAGCTCTGTGAAGTTCTAAGGTTGAGTTCGTATATTCCTGTGTTGGTATGAGGGCATGAAGTTGATGCCAAGGCGTAACCTAGAGTGGATCAGAGCACAATACCGAGATATCGAGGTGCGTAGGACAACTTCGCGAGGTATTGTGCAAGGGCAAACATTATCGGTAAAGGGCAGGAAAGGAATACCTATAGATCCCGAGGGTGCACGCCGAGTCATAATTTGATGGTACCGTATTATCTATCGTACGTAGTCTAAGAACTATAGCAAGTTGACTCGGTATACATTTCTTAGATCTCGATGTATACTAGGTGGTTTGACGCATTAACCTGTGTGTATTCTTCTCATTGGAGACGCACATTTATGGGTAATACCATCTTTGATCCCAAGAGAACCTAGAATTCTCGAAAAAGTGATTAGATTCACAATACGCGGAATACAACATGAGCTGGTCCGGCATTCGGTTCGCTTCACATCAAGACTTAACAGAAATTCTACTATAGTAGGGGAGTCCTATTTTAGCGGCACACAGCTCTGATGCATGTTAGCCAGCCTTATTACTACTGTTTATAGAATCAAATATCATAAAAGGCTGCTTCGCATACCTACATCCGGATGCATAGGGTCGCTTATTCTGATAGCATCTACAACCACATCCTCTGCGGTGGTCCGATCGATAACAGGTAGGTATTATTTGGTATTGTCGGTCCGCCCATAAAACTCTCAGTACGTGTGGATGCACCATTGAGAAAGTCGGGATCTTCGTTACACTGCGGACCGGGGTACAGTTCATAGGGCCGGGGACAAGATCCGGGAGGGAGAGGCGGAAGCACATGCTTGATCTTCAATTTCCGCTCATATTTATGTTGAGTGACTGGTGTGTTTCACAGGAGAAGGACGCCACTGTGGAAACCATAATATAACGACAAACCAGTTTGGAGGACCTCCCTGACTCAAATATTAGGTACCAGCAATCTGTCTCGTCTGATTCACCTTGCATGCATGTAGGGAATACGTGTAGGGTCCGGGGAGCTGTAGAAGGTCGTTTCGTCAATCCAAGCTTATCTGATTAGGCAGGGATTGCTCGAAGACGACTCGACTGGTGAGGTGGCCCCCAATGTAGCTCTCGAGGTTAGAGACCCACGTGAGACGGGAAGCAACTGGATAGAAGCAGCTATGAAAGCGTGGCTGAAGGCTGCATAGCACTAGTATTGGCGGCAATGTGGCAACTTGAGTAGGTAGCCCGGTAAATCTACTCCGGATATGCATCCTCGAAGCCAAAGATAATGATATGTGACTTGGGGCTCGGCGTGCTGCGATATGTATCACGCATATAAAACCTAGTCTAGCCGGAAGTAGTGGAGGGTCTCGGCATATGGGAGATCAGCCCTCTTCTCAACATATCCGTCCATTCCCGTTCCTGGGAAGCGAAAAAGTATGACTGCAACCCTCATGCACCCAGCAAGAGCCCGAATAGATCGGGATTGACTATGCCATCAGTTGAGAACAAGATACCCCACAAGTTTTTTTTTCAAGTCATGCCGCTGTTGCGACTACGACGTTCAAGGATCGTGGGATCTAAGAACGGTTGAGCAGTGGCCGCGGATGAGATCTCAATAGGATCCTCTGAAGATATGTTAAAATATGACTCAAATGATCTTGATTGATCATAAACACACGTACGGTTTACTTGTCTCTCAGATGGGTTTCTTACTAGGACTTCGTTGATCGACGGTGATGTGACTGTATACGATTTGGTTGAAGGTGGTTTCGACGGTGGACGAAGTTTACCCTTTACCAATTCTCGGTGTCCATGACCGCGTTGATTTTCAGTCGACATTTCTGACGGGACTTTTTCTACTCGGATACATAAAGCATTAGGTACACACGTCTTTACTTGTATGTGGTCCCAAGTTTTTTTTTTTTTTTTTTTTTTTTTTTTTTTCTCTCTTCAAGTGGTGGTAATTCCAAGTGGTAGGCTTAGAATTATATGATTTTTAATATATAGGATACACGTAAGAAATGATTTGCATGGCGTTGAATGCAATGTTAGGAATAACGGTAAGTGGAACCCCAAGAGCAGTCGCTTATACTTCGGAAACTATACGCGGACCGAGCATCTTTTTAGTTTTTTCAGTTTCCTGGCCGGCGTCTGCAGCTGTCTGATAGTGCTGGTGGCTTACCTGTTCTAGGTAAGGACCGAACGGGTCGTTGTTTGGCCTTGCCGGGACTCTTTTAGGTCAAACCGAAAACGATACAGCTAGCTATACAGTTCGCTGATACGTAGGGGAATACATACCTACCTACACTATCTCGATTGTGCGACAGTAGGAGTCAGTTGATCAATTGAATTCGAGTTTTCTTGGTGCATGAAATGCCTTAAGAAAAAAAAAATGAATGAAAAAAAAAAAAAAAATCTTACTCATAGTTAGTTGCAAAGCTGTAAACACATTGCGAAGTGAATATAATGAATGAGATGGCGTTCGTCAACTTGCCAGGGATCTCATTTGAAGAAAACAAATTGGGGTAAGAGCACCTGATCATTTTGACCGGGATTACCTTCCTAGACGAGTATTCCGCAGGCCAAGATGGGTAAAGTGTGACCTCGTTACCCCTCATTTTTATTCGTCGATGGAAGGAAGCCAAGGGAAGTCAAGGGAGGTCAAGGGAGGTCCTATGCAAGTCGTATGCAGTCAAACAGCTTGGGATGGAGGGAGCTACGCACACTACGCACACACTACACGCACAATCCGCACAATGAACAACTCATTCCTTCATTACGGGACTCATGATTTGCTGTTAAGGTACCTCTTCCATTTAGGTAATATGTAGGTACCTGACCCTACGTGCATTCCGATACTTTTACGGTGTTTTGGTCTTTGGTCTTTTTGAAATTTGAGTCCAATTAGCTGCAATTAGTTCAATTAGTTCAATTAGTCCAATCGCTTTGATCAATTGGGACCTTTAGTGGATAATAACTGAGTGCCTACGTACTTCGTACTATGTAATGAAATTTCAAGCTTACCTTACCTTACCTACGGCCCATGGGTAAAGGTGGATGTGGGATGCGGATGACTCTTAAAAATGTTTTGACAAAAGCCAAACCGTATTCTTGATTTTTCTTTACCTAACTGCTTTGCTTGCCCTTACCTATTTCTCACCTACTCTTACTCGTTCTTTCTTTATTAGTGTCCAGTATCCATTATTCAGTATTGAAAGTATCCACTTTCTAACGCATTGCCCGCCACCCCGCGTTAGCGGCAAAAGAAAAAAAAAATAACAGAACTTTTTTTTTTTTTTTTTTTTCGTGTCAAGTCAGAGCCGCAAGTCGCCTCTCTCCCACCCCAAATTTCAATTCATATCCTCTTATCGCTATTAGCCCAGACCCCTCCAATTACCTCTCAATTCCGTGATCGGTCTCGGAACCTCGACGTAAAGCAAAGCTGAGCAAATCTCAGCCTCGGCCGGTGCAGCGGCACGGAGCCATACGGAGCAAAACAATTACCTCAGAAATTCATAACTCGTCATATTCATCACTTTCAATTGGATTGTTTTTATTAGTCAATTGAGAGTGCATGGATGGCCACACGGTTGCTGGCGCCGTTTCGGCGCCGTCAACGAGCCCTACCAGCCCCGTGAGCGTCCACCGCCATGGCTCTATGAAGCGAAAGCGCAGCGAAGGGGGCCTCGGAGTCGAAAGCAGTCCTGGTAGCGTTATCGGCGACGAAGATCAGTCTCTTGCCGAACCCGAAAAGAAGAGACAACCCGGCGTGAAGCGGTATGTTCATATATCCATCTATGATCTACGATCTACATATTATATAATATCCTAAACTTCAACTACCCATACCTGATTCTTCATTCAAATATACCTACCTATACATAATAATATATTTGCGATGATATCTAGCTAATAGCGTCGGGATAGAGCATGCAACGAATGTAGGCAGCAGAAACTCAGGTGCGATGTTGTTCAAGAACCATTCCAGAGTTGTTCGAGGTGTAACCGTCTAAAACTCGAGTGCAAGATCGAGTCCAACTTTAAGCGGATCGGAAAGAGATCGAAACATGCTGAGATGGAAAAAGAGATCGATCGGTTACGTCGCAAGATAGCCCAAGCTAAGGCCCAGGGCTTTGTAATGGACGATGATGAAGACCTGCAATCACAATTGCAATCCCCCGTCGCAAATAGTGCGTATTCGCATACCCGAAATCCTTCGCTCATGGGGTCCGATGAGGCTGTTACCTCCCTTCTGACTCTCAAGCGAGGAGGGTCGTATAGCTTGGCCGCAACCCATTATGCCTACGAGCTTGAGACAGTGCGACTGACCGAGCAGGATGTCCATGGATTATTCCAGGAGTTTTTCAGCTGTTACCATCCGTTTCTCCCCTTCTTAAACGAGCACCAGTCCCCTGATCTATATTATCAGCAACATGCTTTACTCTTCTGGACTATTATTGCCATTGCCTCGCGGCGTTACCATGCCAAGCCTAGCATCTTGCATGAACTATCAAGCGGCCCTCTAAATAGACTCCTTTGGGGCACTGTAGGCGATGTACCGAATAGCTATTTCGTCGTTAAGGCTCTTTGCCTGTTATGTACTTGGCCTCTGCCGACAAGCACGACGACAGCAGATCCGACTCATATTTTATGCGGTGTGATGATGAAAGCCGCCACAGGTATCGGCCTACACCGGCCTAACCATACCCAGGATTTCTCTCGCGTATCGGTAGAGCTGAACAAAGACCAGCTTCATGACCGAGTAACAACCTGGGCCGTCTGTAATATTGTTGCCCAGTCTATTGGAACTGGTTATGGCCAGCCGGCCACTTCTCTCTACGACTGGACATTGGCGATCCGTCCTGGAGAGGATGGCCCATTCACGCTTTCCCCTGAACTTGAAGCTAGGCTAAGAATAGAGAGGTTTTGCGACAAAGTTTCCAAGGAAA